AAAATAAGGATGTTATAAATTTTTGGAAAATGGGCGTAGCCACGCCCGCTTATGGTTACATGTGTATAGCTTGGTAACCGCTGCACCAATTTCTTCCAAACTTAGCACAGTTGGTGGCCTTGCTACGGCATACCAAATGGCTGAAAATTTTTGAAATCGGACAATAACCACGCCCACATCCCATATAACTACGGTGACCATCCGTTCTGTTTTTTGCAGGACCGTATTGTTATTTAAAGGTCTGTCCCGCGTAGTTTTTCAAAACAGAAAACCCCCAAAATGTACTGATTTTTTCCAAGTGTCCTGCCTTTGTCCCGCATTTTCTTCGATATTTTAAAATTTGCTTTTCCTAATCGAAATAAAAGCAGCGTCGATAACTAATTGATAACTAAATAAGTTTAAGCTGGTTCAACCAATCAATGCGTTCTCAACTTTGTACGGTTATGGGCAATGGATGATGAGAAAACGAAGACCAGCATCAAATATATCAATAACACTGTTCTACAAATTTTGTGGTAATCGCTTAAGAAAAAAAAAAAAGTTTTCCAAGCCAATTTTCTTTTCAAAGAAGCGTTTTCGTAATTTTTTCGAAAAACGTGTTTTTGGTACATTTCGGAGCTATTCGTCAATATCTGATGAAAAAATTATTCAATCAACATAAGCGACCTACAGTCCTCTTACAAAAATATATTACTTTGCCGATTTTGATGAAAATGATTAGTGTTACAAGCGACGAAAATCGAAAAAAATTAAATTTCAATCATTTTATTTTTACAGTAAATGAAAATCTGATGAGATATGTAGATGTTACGGAACACAAATCTGCACAAATTATATACTTTTGCAAAGGGCCCATCAATACCTTTCGAGCTGTAGGTCGTTTCATGTGATATTGACGATTAACTGAAAAAAGTACTAAAAATACGTTTCTCGAACAAATCTCGAGAACACTTCTTTGAAACCATGGGTATTATTTTCGTGTTCAACGACGTTTGCCTAAAAAATTTGCTTTACAGAGGTTCATATTTCGTGTAAGGTAATATGTAATATGCCTTATTATAATTTCATTACAAAAAGAGTAATACCAATGAAGCAAATGTGATTTATGTTTAAAGTTTAAAATTACATTAATAATTAAGAAATATACACTCCTCGTTGTTTGAAAGCGCACTCTTTTAATACTTACTAGTTACAGTTTTCCTTTTGATTGTTTAATATTCATTAATTTTTTATAAAAGATATAGCATATTCTACGTCTAAATCCGATTTTAATAATTTTCGAAAATTAAAAAAAAATCAACATAGGGGCGGAAATTTTTTTTGTTGACGGTGCTGCACATTTTCTTCCATGTAAAAATTTTGTCAAGCATACTTTGTAACGAAGAAAATCAAAAAAGGGTGCGCTATTCAAATGAGAAGGAATGTATATATGTATGTAATATATTTTTGTTATTTTTATACTACGCAATTATATGTAGGTACATTTTTTTAATAATTGTCCTGCATTTTCAAAATATATTTGTGGTCACCGTACCTATAACGGTAATTTAGAGAAATACAAAATCTTCGATAAATCAGTAATTTCTTCAAAATTGATGCTTGAAACAATTCTTTACCAAGAAATACGCTTATCATAAAATTTTGGATAATGGGCGTGGCACCGCCCACTTATGATTACATATATGTATCTCGGCAGGGGCGCACCCAGGAATATATTTTAGGGGGGGTTTTATATTTCTGACGATATATCACCGGAATATACTGAAAATTCTCTTCAGATAATACGCTCTTTGAAATACATTTATGCAAGTTTTATGTACAGTATGTAATAAATAAATAAACGGTTTAAAATTCATAAACTGCACTTTATTTACAAAAGATTAACAGAACTCAAACATTTTTAACCGACTTCAAAAAAAGGGGAGGTTATCAATTCGTCGGAATACATAACCTGGGACCACGTGAACCGATTTCAATAATTCTTTTTTTATTGGAAAGATGACACCTCAAGGGTCGTCCGGTAATTTGGTTTAGATCCGATGATTGGATCATGAAGAAATTAACGGTACACGTAAATTTGTATATGAGAATTGAAGTCGGTTGTGTTCTTTCCTTAAAAACTACTTGTTTGATAAAAAGTTCTATAAACTCAAGATGAGCTCAACTTTCAAAAGTACCTAATCAAAAATTTTAAAAAAGAGTTAGGAAAAATAAATTTATTGATTCCAAGAAATTTTTACACTTTTATGTTAATTTTTTCGATTTCTGGTTTCTGGTTTTCGATAGAGATGGTAATTTTTCACGATTTCACATTTTTTAATATTTCGAATACCGAAAAACTTATCTGAACTCTTAAGAAAAACGAAAAATTCATATAAAACGACGGACAAGAAATGGAAAAGAAATTTTCTTCTACCAAAATTTCTTAAACCAGTTTGCAGCTCTCAAGAAAAAAATGGTCGTATATTATTTTCTCATGCAAATTTACAGCAAAAGCAAAGCGCTTTTATCAAGCAACAGAAATTATAATAAATATTTCTTATGATTTCCTTGAGAGCTGGATTCTTAGCTTTAAGATACAGTTTGTATTTGAGGTTATTAGCTTTAGGGGTGGTTTGAACCCCAAAACCCACCCCTTGTGTGCGCTAATGTATCTCGGTAACCGTTCCACCAATTTGTACCAAACTCGGTATAGTTATTATGCTTGCCACATAAAAGAAAAACGTTGAAAATTATTGAAATCGGACTAAAATTATGGCCGCTTTTCATACAACGGTAAATTTCAGAAACTTCAATATTTCGAAATTTAGGGACGCTAATTTACTCAAAATTTATACACTCTGGCTTACCTTGTAGCGGTAGCTTTCGGAAAGGTGAAAAACATATATTTAATACTTGCGCCGGGTATTTAATGTTCGGCTCCGCCCGAACTTAGACTTTCTTACTTGTTTATTAATACAAATAAATTTCGCCGGCAAAACGTTTTTTTTGCTAACAGTAGATATTTACATACTTATGTATAGGAAAATATTCTATCCCCTTTAGAAGGTCTAAAAGCTTTAGTTATGGCAGTTATGGAGGTCTCCCTGTCACAGTGTGGGACGGTGCGCTTTCCGTACATTGTTGTTATCCGGAGAAGATCTGAAACAGATTTATATTTCGGATTGTTTTTCATATTCGGAAACCAAAATTGTAAACATTCAAAATGAAAATTTAATGGGTTCCGTCATCAGCAAGAACTAATAAAGAATGCAGAGTGTTTCGTATTACTAATATAATTTCATAAATTCTCGTTGCTTGTTTTGTAGGGATGTCGGCAAAACATCGATGCATCGAAAATATCGATGTTTTACTCGATGTATAAATAGTCGATTTATCGTGGCATCGATGTTTTTTGAAAACTGACATCTCTAGTACAATGAACCGGCATGTTCAAAATTAAAAAAGAAGCAAGTTTGGCCAAAAAATGTAAATGGCTATAAAGTTACGTTAGAATCATAATTAGCTCAATTACAGTAATTAATTTAAAATTTTGAATAGTTTTGCTTTTAATATATTTTGCTGCGAAATACTTAATATCTGTAAAATCCTATGATGTTGATTGATTGATGTATTCCCTTCGCTGTATCGAAAAATGTCGATGTACTTTTCGCTGCATCGAATCAAAGAAATACATCGATGTATTTTTGAAACTGACATCCCTATTGTTTTGTTTTATTTTATTTCTCATAACTCTGAAAAGGCATCTGCGAAGTGCAGAATGAAAGCGTATTCAATAAAAACGAAAATCAGGAAAATATCAGAAAAGTATCATTTCAGTGCGAAGACCTATACGAAAAATATCTACAGGAAAATGTATTCCGACAATATTGTATTTAATTATGTACGAGTATTTTGTTAGTTGTATTAAAATTTAAATAATAAATAAACTTCTTCTTTTTTCAGGGTCAATGCTCCGCCGGCACATTGCCTGTGGCATGGGTTGATGAAGGCCCCGGGCCCCCAGCCTGTCCCATTTCATGTGAAAAGTTAAAGTCAAGCATAGTTAATAATTTTAATACAAAATCTAACAATAATAACAGTAATTTAATAAATAATTATAAAGTAAATATTAAGACACCTGCTGAAAACCATCACGAAAGCGGGAAAATGCTGAAAGCGCGTCGTGACTTGAACTCCTGGAAGGGCAACGACAGCACTGAATACTCCTATGCAGATCAAAGCATGGTTGGTACAGGAATAGCAGAAAGGTCTAGAAAAAATATGGTGAACATAGCATCTGCTTCCTTAGTTCAAACGAAACCTTACCGAGCTCAACAGAACGATAACACGGTATATGCACTCGCCCTTAAACCCGGCAGCCAACAGCACCAGGTCAGCAATAACGTTGTAAAACCGAATAAAAATCAGGCTGAATCTAGAACGCCTAATGACCCTTCTGGTAATATCAATGGTGGATCGAAATCCGAAAGCAACGCTCGCCGCATATATAACAACAAGCAAAAGAAACAGCCACTACAACAACAAAACCAACAGAAAGAACAACAGTGCCTTGATTACTTGGGCGATACGGAGGAGACGAGTCCGGTGCATTTGTGTACATTCAAATCGCCTGTCGAATTGGCGGCTCAGCTACGTTCACTACGTTTACGCCATTGCTGCGAGCGTAATGTATTCAGCGCTCTTCACACAGTCGCCTTAAATGCAACGCTAAGTGGCGGCGTGGAGTGTGTTCGCATTCTTATGGATATCATGGACTTAGATCTACTGGCCACCCGGATCACTTGCGAACTGGCAGAAATACTTTTTCGTTTCGATTGCCGGCAGGTGTATTCACTGATTCATCAGTGTGGTGATTGTAAGGTAAGTATTTACTCAAAATGTATCTCAATATTATTCGTGACCTGTGCCGTTTCAAAATTAGGCCTTTTATCAGAAAGTTTTATAGTTGACTGTTTGCCATTAATCTCTACCTAGTGTGGGCACCAACTCACCGACGTGAACGTACGTTAACGTGTATATATGAAACCACACCATCGTGTACGTGCGACCAGTGTTGCCGTTGCGCGACTAAAGGACAATTTGGCCCTTTTTTGGCGCCAATAGCCTTTGACCCGACTTTTTGAAAATTTATGTTTTTTGGCCCTTTCCCAAAATTATGTGCGACTGTTGCCCCTTTTCAGAGATTTCTTTAGGAAATGTTAACCATGCTACTAAAAATTATTTCCTCTTGTAAGTACGAAAAAATTAATCACTTAAAACTTTTAAAGGAAATGTGATTTTTCTCCTTCCCGCACCTCGATTTCTGTGCTTTGTTCAAAGCTTGTCCCGCTATTTTCTTTTTAAATTCAACAGCGGAACGTTATAACAGCGAAAATACTTTATAATACATGTGAATTTATTTCTGACTTTGGATCTCAGATTTATTCTTTTACTAGTTAGTAAAGAAAAACAAAAATAATATGGTGACCCTTTTTTCATCAATTACTAATGTGACCAACCGTACTTCTTTCGGAGGTACAGTACTTCTTTTTTCGCTTTTGTACTTCGTACTTAGAAGTACAGTCAAATGTACTTCTTTGCGATATTTTGTACTTCAGGAGGGAGATTCTGTAACCAGTTAGCGACCATTTTCGGATCGCTAGGATCCTAGTACGATAACGATTGGAAAATTGTCGCTAACTTACAGAATCTCCTCAAGTACTTCTTCGATCTTTTGGACGATTGTCACATGTATTTTTATTTTTGTATTGCTGTCCATAAGTACATACATACATATGTATGTTCATGGGTATATCAGCAAACCACGCTTGCTTCAGCATAGATACCCAGCCAGCAAAGAAACGTAAATTTTGCCGACAGTGCAGTTTAGTGCCATTTTCCGTGTCCGAAACGAATAGAAAAAAACTCCTACAGTTATCATCAATTTTCGTATCCGGAAAACGCTCGAAACGTTCCAAAAAGAAGATGACATTTGAAAGAAATAATTGTATTTTATTTGCTCAAGCTAAACATTTGAAAGCATGAATGCGTAGTTGGCAGTGGCTGAGTGTGCCGCTATTTGGTAGCTTCCAAAAGGTGCCGAATTCCGTCAGGCGCTTCATAATTTCATTTGATTTCTTTTGAACCATGAAAAAGTATCTGTGAAGTGCAGAATGAAAGTGAAATGAATGAACGAAAAATTCAATCAGACAAATTTCAGAAAACACAGCCGAAAGCGTATCCGTTTCACACACCGTTGTCTGTACATACGTTCCTGCCGCACACTTTAGTGAGAAAACAGATCATCAACGTATCCGGAAATGGAATCAGTAAACGGACAAAAATTCGCACTTCATCCACTTTTTTGTCCTTTTTCGGATCGGTTTTCGGATTTTTTGCTGGCTGGGTATATATTTGTACCCATCCAAACATATGTATGTACGAATATATGTAGGTACACGCAGGCCCGTCGAGGGGGAGGGGGCAAAGGGGTGAATCCCCCCGAGCTCGGGCTTCTTAACGGGCCCGAAATTTCAGAACCATAACTTGTTATTATTTTTTTACAAAGTAATTGCTCCTCTGTTATAAGTTTTTAATATAAATATTATAAATATATGCCAATTCGTGCTGATTATTTCGGACTCTACAAATTAAAGAAAATTATGATATGGCCCAAAACGCGTACTGCTAGAATACGTTTTGGCTCACAGTGCTTTTCAAATACCGCTGAAACTTGCTAGAATACAAATTCCGGATAGTTTTTCTTCTTGCATCTGAAAGCATAAGTACGTGGTAATATTTAATATATACCTGAAATATATTGTACCTCCTGTTCTTCAGTAGTTATGAATGTTTCAACAGCGGACTGTTGCATAAAAATTTTTGGAAGTACTTTTTATATTATTATATTATCCTTATATAACTCATATGTATTTATTGAAATAAAATTAATTTTGAGGTCATTATTTGCAAAAGATAGTTGGGCTGTTACGTTTCAGAAAAAGACTGTTACGTTATCTGTGCGGTATACGTACGTGTTGATTATAATTTGGCTTTTAAATGGCTTGTAGTCTGTTTTATGCAATAAGTAGCATGAATTCAGTAGACTTGCGTATTGACATGTAATCCAAAGAAATTAAGAATATGATAATTATGAATACATATTTGAAAGTTTCTGTTGCTGTGCAGCTGTAGGTCGGAAGTAATTTTCTGCGTAGAATTCGAGCTCGAGCTTACAAATGCTCCAAGATATTGAAGTTTTTCGCGGTTCAGTACGTAAATAAATATAGTTTATATTTTCAACTTATATTAAGAATTATTTTTTTCTTTTTAGTTTGATATGCTTTAAAACATATATGTAATACTCCTATATTGGGAGTAAGAGCTAGTACCGTCCGAAAACACTACAGTACAGATATATCAATAAACACGTACGAAAGAAAAGGAACACAAACGTTTACAAAAAAACATGTACACAACACATATGTATACAAAAACGGCACTCAAGCACACAATATATTGACAAAAACAGTACTAGACTGTCTCGCTCTGATTTCGGAATGCTTACACATTGAGAAGTTAGCTTATTGCCAATATAGAAGTATTAGATACATATATGCTTTAAAAGCGTGTTTTTTAGTTTTTTTAGTTCGATTTATTGTTTTCAATATTGACATCGGCATGCTCTAACAGGAAATCGATGATTAGCCGACGTCCTTTTGATATAGCTAGATGTAAAGCAGTAGATCCATTTTTTTGCTAGAGCATTGACTTCAGCGCCCTTTTTTTTAGAAGATACTCGATCATCCTTTTTCCGTGATTACTATTACTAACGACAGCGAGGTGCAGCAACGAGTAATCTTCTAAATCATTAATAGTACAAGTTATATTAACAGTCGCACCCCGATTTAGAAGATATTCAAAGATTTCTATTTTGCCAATATAACCAGCGAGACTCAGCTGTGTAACATTTAAATTATTTTTCACAATCGGCTCCGCGATTGAATAATGCTATTACAGCATCGAAATGATTATTTTCTACTGCTAAAAGAAGTGGCGTATTGCCAAATTCATCTTTGCAATTAATATCAGTACCGCGGTCAAGCAGTGGAAGATAGCGTTACATCATTTATTTTCAGCCATAGACGGGATTTGAAATCATGTCTGGTAAGTTCGTTGTCTCGCGCCTACGACTTGCGCCTTAGCCCGCTTGGCCAACTGTGCAACTGATAGGGATAGAATGTATTAACACTAATAAGCCGAGTGCTCGAGTCGGAAAGTAAGTAGACGGTACGCATGTGCAGACAGCGTAGTTGTCTCACTTGCTCTCACACAGAGGCTGTGTGAGGAAATTATTTAATCCTGGCGATCCTAATCAGGATAATGAGATAAATTTATGAAATTATTATATTGTCGCTGATTCTTGATAAGTGTACAAAGTTTGAATTAAATCTGTCTGTTTAAAGTGGGTCAAAATCGAGTCCAAAGGAGTCGGTTACAAACATACAGGTGAAGCTAATAAAAGGATGTTAAAAACGGCTTTAATGGCCACTTTTGTTTGCTCTATGCCATTTAGTACTATTCTTACCCTTCATAATGCGCCTTCGAATGGTACTTTAAGATTTTCCCATCAGAAACTATGGCCATTGGAAGATGACGTAATGAGTTAGAAAGCATATGCTTGGTTTGGTGATGTTAGATTCGAGGACATGGCAGTTTAAGTGGCCGTAACTCTTGAAGGAAAAATCTAATAGCACCTTTAGAGAGTGTATTTTGAAGGATAATAATAGTAATAGAAGATACTGGAAATAATTCCAATAGATTTTTATAATTTAATCAGAAAATCTTCTTCCTCTTTTAGCTTTGAGGTAGAAAGAATATACAGTAAAACCCGCTTAAGTACCTAACCCGCTGAAGTAACCAATATTTTTGGACACCGTGAATTTTTTAATATAATCTGAAGAAAATCCCTACCGGCCTGCTTATGTACCCAACCCGCCTAAGTACCTAAATTTTTCGTGCCCCATTTACAATTTTACTTAGAATTTTCCCCTTTTGAGTGCTCTTTTAAAATTGCTTAAAATATTTACGTATTTTGAAATTCAGTAGCAGCACTACACACCTCCGGTAAAAAAAATTCTAAAAAATCAACGGTAATTTTTAGCCACTTGAAACTTGCACATTATTACACCAAAATTGAATGGCCAAAAAGCTGTATACTCAAAAAATACTTCAGAGAAAAAAGTTTGCAATTATGATGAATCTTTTTTTTAAGTGTTCTACAAAATCTTAAGATTCGGTTTATATGGTATTTGTTAGGGAATGAACTGTATTTTAATTGATTGAAAAATCTTAAAAATTAATAAATAAACATAAGTGGCAAACAATATGTATCATTTTGAATTTGGTATAAAATGATATGTCCATCTTTGACACATCAAAGAATTAAACAATTTAATTCTTTTAAAAATGACATACCATTGCACTATATATTTTTTTTTAATAAAGTTTTTCTTTACTTGTTAATGTGCTGAAATATTGCTACGATTTTGGTTTTAAACTATGTATACTTCATTAAATGTTGTTATTCAAGTATTTATGCAAGTTAACAAGAAGATGTAACTATATCAGTAATTATGTTCGCTTAAGTACCCGCATCGAGGTATTTAAGCGGGTTCTTTTAAGTACCCAACCCGCCTAAGTACCTCAAAAAGCTGACATTTTTCGTGAGGTACTTAAGCGGGTTTTACTGTAAATCTTAACTATGGGTCAATAACACGTTGAATAGCTTACAATGTTGCTTTAAATTTAGCCGTATTTCTAACTAAATAAAAAATAATTTTTTCTGAAAACTCAATTAGAAAACAAGTAATTTTTAAGCC